CTCCGTTTCCACTGCAGCCTGCGAGTTCAGCTCCATCTCCCCGGCTATTCCCTTGCAAGCAGCAGCAGCTGGAGCCCCTTTTGGAGCTTTTCTTTGCCTGCCAAACCTGCCCAACTCCTGCAGCCCTGTGCCCCCAGTCCACCGCATGCTCCCTGGCTCCAGCTTTCCCCCGTTCCTCCCAAACCAGGGGCCCAAAACAAGGCGCGAGAGCCAGACGTGACCTCCCCAGCACCGAGCAGAGGGGGTAAGCTGCTGGCCCCACTCCAAACACAGCTCAGTTTTTGAAGGTCGGTTGGGTGTTTTTTTGGTTGGCTATTTTTTGTGCCCAGCACCCCCCAGGGTGATTTGGGTGACCCCCCCGTTTTGGCAGGGCTGCAGCTCACCCTGTCCGTGCCCACGCCTGGGGTCACCGGGCTCCAGGTGCAGTCCTTGGTGGTGCCGCTTCCTGGCACGCGGCACACAGTGCCTGGTGGCCTGGTGCTCCAGCTGGTCAAGGTCCCTCCCGGTTGAAGATCTGACTTTTGGCACATCAGCTCCCGAGGGGACACTGTCCAGTGCCTCCAGCACCAGCTCAGTATAGCAAACCGCACCCCTGGATGCCCCCAGCAACTGTCTCTTTTTGTAGAAATAAGCCTCCAGTAAAGTCTTGATGATTTTAACCATCACTGAAATTTTGCATGTTTACACCTATCATGCGCTTACATTTTAGGATTACCAGAGACAGTCTTGTTAAACCCATTTTCTAGCTTCCAAGGATCTAATCCCATGCACCTCAATTATTCTTCTGCCTGCTGTGCCACTGCTTCAGCAGCTTCATGGAAGTGCAGCATCTACTGCAATGGCTAAAGTCTGTAAAAATAAATTAAAAAAAAAAAGATGATGAGATGTTTCCCCTAAGAATATACTGGCACAAGATGCTTTTGAGCAGGTCACTTCTTTTACTGTTAGAAGGCAAATCTGTGACTGGAACAACAGCCAAATTATGTTTCATTTCATTTTCTGTGAGGGAGAGACTAATCCAAACGTAGACTGGAGGTGGTGGGGAGCAACCGAGTGTACCACTTGTCTAACAAAAAACATGCCAAACTCCATGCAGAACTATTCTTCAACTATTTTTGACACATGTAACCTTTGAGAGAAGGACTCCCATCACCGGACCCAGGTACAAAGGGTGGGCATATCCATCAACATTCATTAGTACTGGTTTTCAGAAGAGAAATGGCACAAGAACAGCAAAAATCCTGGTGATTTGTTATTACGTCCAAACTCTATACTTGCTCTGGTTCTGCAAGCAACCCTCTAATTCACAAGACACTACTACCTAAATAAAGTCGGTAAAGATCTGGCTGACCAGCAAACAAATTTGTTCCCACTGTGAATCTCAGGCAGATTTCTCCATGAAGCTGAGAAAAATCTAGATGTTCTGGTAAAGTTCTTTTTATTTACAATATTCTTCTTTTTATACATACCTATAGCAACAATGAAAAATTATTCACAAAGCTTAACTGCATGTAAAAATGTTCTCATCCAACAGTTTGTCCTACCAATCTCTGTGGAAAATTGTCAACTGTTCTCTTGCAGCAATGAGATTGTCTGAGCATCATTTTTTAGTTTTTCTGGTAGACTTTTAGGAAACCACCTCAAAACATGTACACAGATACTTACTCACCTTTCTTCTGAACACCTTTAGGCACTGAAGAAGCAAACTCAGATTTGCTTTTAGAAATGTGAATTGGGGGAGGAGGAGAAGAGATATGTAAGAACTT